CTTGAACCTGGACCCTGATCAAGTCACTCACTCCAAGCGTCCTACCCACTCCAAGCTTTCAGCTCCATGGTCCACTCATGCCTCCCATCCCTCTACCCTCCGCTAACTGGAGCGGGCACCGGCTACTGTCCATGGTTCTGCTCAAAGGCAAAGCCCACACTGGGGACTTCTATCCAGCCTCTCCCAGGACTTCTGCATGACGAGATGATTTTTATTTTCTGTCTTGATAAAGGGAATGTGATTTCTTTTACTGCTGCAGAACCAAGATTCATGACTTTGGCTTAACTATTTGTATACCTGGTCTCACATTCTTCAGGTCGATCTGCCACATTTACCACTTCTCCCATTTGACTCCTTGAGAAACTGGGGATCCCTTAGCCCCACAGGCTCCTACTACACCTGCTACACCCATCTCATTTTCTCAAACCCTCCTGGAAGATCCCAGTTGGAGTACATGAGAGCATATCTATTTTCATGTCCCTTGTAGGAACAAGGGCTTGGGGACAGAAAGGTAGCAAGATCAGAGTAAGTGACAGCAAATCTAGGTTGGCATCCAGCTGTTCTGACTGCTCATCTGTCTCATTCTCCATCACCCCGCACTTCTCTGGGGGTCATGGAATCTCCTCTCAAGTCTTCTTCTGAAAGGACCACAAGCACTGCCATGATTTCCAGCTCACTCTGTACCACTCACCATACTGTTTCCATCCCCCACAGAGGGAACAGAGGTTTAGCCTCTGTCCCCAGATGACCAGTAAGTAAATGAAGCCAGCAACATGAAGTGATGTTCTCCAAGCCATAAAGTTAGTATGTGACTGAGCTGGGATTAAAACTATAACTTTTAGGGGCATTCCTGACCTCCCTCTGCAGTAAGAGTCCTCAAGAAATCTACTTAATATTCTCAGCCTGGAGGCTATAATCTCTCCCCCACAACAGGACGGTCCTTGGTTAATGTCACATTGTCCAGATCTTCAGCAGGGCTTTGCTCTTTTCTGCTAGTGCCTTGACCCTTACAACGGAAAATGTGATCTTGCATTGGCTTTTACTCTTGATGATGTCAGCAATAGTTGGTCTTCTGCAGATATTGGGGTGACAGCAAAGGCCCCTAGAAGCACAGATGGAGGCCAAGGGGGCCACCTTCTTGGGAGATGATTATGCATCAGCGTGAATATTGATTAAGCTGTAATTGGCTCCTTCTTTCAGAGCCTGGGCGCCTGCAGGCCTAGGCACTGGGGCTAATTGTTGCAGGCAATTAATAACTTGGATTCCATTCACTCTGGCCCAGGCTGCTGCTTCCTTGGAGGAGAAAAGCAAGGCTGGGAAAGGAGCGCTAGGCCGGCTGCTCGGAGAATTCTGGGGGAGGCAAGAGGGGAGGGCTGCCCACCAGTCAAGCCTCCCCCGGGCCCTGTCTACACCACCCCTAGCCCAGCCTGGCTCTGTTCCTCTTCCCCAAACCTCTCTCTCTCTTTTGAATGATTTGCACCTCTATTCTTTTTCCCTATGAGCTCACATTCATCTACTGAACAGAGCTTCAAGAAGGGGCGGCCAGGGAGGGGAAGGATGGAGCTTGAAGCACAGCCCTGGAGCCTGGGAGGCCTGACACCCAAGCCATGCTCTTCCACTAGTTTGCTAGGTGACCTCAAATCAGAAACTCATTCATTATAAACTTGGGCAAGTGTCCTGCTTTTTTACATCCTTTCTGTCACAGGAAGTGCAAGCAACCCTGAAAATCACTGGAACATGACTGAGAATTCTACCATCTATCTTTCTAACGTTATATAATTATAATTACATAGAGAACTCATAATCAAACTGGTACCTATAAATGTGCCCTATCTCTGCAGAAAGGCTGATTCCAAGTGCATCTGAGGCAGAGATCCTTACTGCTCCCATTCTGCAGATGGGGAAACTGAGTCCCAGAGAAACAAAGTGACCAGCCCTAGGTCATACAGTCAATAAAAGACACATATAAAGATCAACTCCAGTCTCCTCAGTCCAGAAATCTTTGCAAATCACTCATGATCACCTGGCTGTGCCCACTGGCATTTGAGAGAGAGAAGGTGATCTCCAGAGCCGGTATGTCAGCAGACAAATGAGGGAACTACTTAGAAATGTAGTCATTTTATTCCCTGATGCAGGGACAATGTCTTCATCTGCATAGTTTTAAAGATAAATACTCCCAGGGGCTGGGGATTTCGCCCTGCCTGGCACAGCGCCTGCCTGGCAAGCGCAAGGTCATGAGTTCGATTCCCGGTACCGGAGAAAAAACAAAAAGCAAAAAACAAAAAAAAAGGATAAATACTCCCAACCCTCCCCATAAGCTCAACCTCAGCTGCTTAACCATCTGGTGGGGGAATGGTGTTGATTCACACACAACCCCCCACCAGGAGGCAAAGACGAGTATTATCATCAGCTGTTGCCCAGCAAGTGCTAATAGTATACAGAAAATATTAAATTTTTAAAATTTTATTTTAAAGAGAAGAAAACAATAAAAAAGATACAGAATTTCAAAACAAGATAATAGGAAATCAACAGTGGTCATTATATTGTGTATTGTTATCTTCACAGTGGTTGCTCAGATTCTATTGTTTGATCAATTTTGCATGAAAATGCTAGTATTTATTCAAAGCTTGGCGTGCGCCATCCATTGTGTTAAATGCTATTGTTTTACACAGGGATTATCTCATTTAATGAAAGCTGTATAACTATGACTGTGGGATAGGTACTTTTCCTGTCCCCATTTCATAGATGAGACAACTGGGGCTCAGTGAGGTGAAGCAAAGACCCAGAGGCTGAGCTCAGAGGCCCTGCTCTGACACACCTGGGGAGAAGACAGAAGGAGAAAAGAAGGCACAGGAGCTGAAGACAAACCAGCTCCTACTCCCCCTCACGAAAGAAGGGTTCTCAATTAGTTATGAAGGCAGAGGATAAGGGAACCCATTCACTGGTGCTATGAGGCATTTAAATCAGACCTAGGAAGAACTGCCGTCAGGCAACACTGCAATGAGGGGGGGCACACCAGCCTTTCAGCTGGCCACTGAGTCAGCTCTGATGGTCACCTGGAAGTGACAGGGCTCAGGGAGGTGCCCTGAGGTGGGACAGGGATGGCTGAGCCCAGCATCCCCAGGCTCTGGAATGGGGCTTTGCAGGCAGAGCTGGCGGCGGGGTGAGGCTGGCTCCAGGAAAAGGATTCTCATGGTTTTCCACACCCGCTCCGCTGCCACATCCAGCTCCTCTTTATGGGCCGGCATATTTCAAAGGCCCGGTTTCATTTGCATTTTGAAAACCCTGCTGATGGCCTGGGAAAACCGCATCCTTCCCGTGTTCTCGGGTATCAAGCTTCCAACCCCACCGCCACTCCATGGGTCTTTGCACCAGCCCTTTGAGGACGGTCCCTTACCAAGAGCAGAGCCAGCCCAGCCCCTCTGGTCTTTTGCAGGTCCCAGGAAGCCAGGAAAGGCTCACGGGAGAGTGTGGTCAAGGTAGCCATGGCTATGGGCACCTGGCAGCCCGAAGCTAGGCCCCCTTGGAGGGGAATCAGGGCCCTGTTCAAATCCACTAAAAAGACTCCCCAAGGGAGTGAGACTGGATCCCCAGGCGTGGGCTGAGGGTGGTGCAGCACCACAGGCTCACAAATGGGGTGTCCTGTGGATTCACCAGACTGCAAGGAACAGCGTGAGTGCCTTGGCGAACTTTGAGGAGGCTCCTGGAAGCAGCCTTGAAACACACTGAAAAGAACAAGCCATTCACCCAGCGAGGCCAAGCCTTTGCTCTCAGCTGGGCTCGGGAACACACTTTGTGTCTCCCGATTGCTCTCAATAAATCTCTCCCTTGTTCTCCTTCCTCCCATCCTCCCGCACAGCCCCTCTTTCTCTGCCTTCCTCTGGGATACGGGGTCAGGACAGGAAGTTTGCAGGGCAGTGCTGGCTGGCCTTCTGGACTCCTATGTCATACCTGTCCTCTGTTTTGGGGCAGGAACATTCCACTCTCCACCTTTTGCGTGCTCTCTCTCTCTCTCTCTCTCTCTCTCTCTCTCTCTCTCTCTGTCTCTGTCTCTGTCTCCTTTCCTCCTTTTGCAGCTCAGAATGGCACCCCTCATACCAGGCGCTGCCCCAACCCCAGTGTCTTCAAAGCCGGGTGAAGCCACTGGGGGGTGCTCTGACAGACTTGGCCAGGCTGGCAATGGGTCCCCTGACGATTGGAGCACATGGAAGTGAGTGCCCGGGCAGGGGCACTTGCTCAGGCCATTTGCTTCTGCATAGATGAGCTCTCGAGGCACCCTGGGTCATAAATACCGATGCATCCACCTGCCAGCCAGCCGGTGGACGGCTCCGGGGACTGCGCACCAAGGGACAGAGCAGGAGCAGCAGGTGAGCCGCAGAGCTGAAACGAACAGGCACTCTGGAGTTACAGGCCACCCCACCTGTTTCCTTCTTTTAAAAATAAGGGCTGCAGCTTGGGAGGGGGACTAACGTGGGCTGGGTCCCTGTGGGTTAGGCGTGGGGCTTGGTGTTATATTTTACAGCTCTCCTGTCTCCCGCTCTCTCCCATGAGCTGGAAGCTTCATGAGGACAGAGGTTAGGTCTCACCGGTCTCTGTCTCCCCATCTGCACGCACTCAGATGCTATGGGATCCGTTCCTGGTTCCCCTCGCCCAGCAGTGGCCTCTCCAGCACTAACACCTCTCTGTCCGGCAGCCAGGAGCTGGCAGCCAGTTCCATCCGAGGCGGCTCCCTGGTGACACCAGTGCCAGTGCCCTCTGAGCCCCGATGGGGAAGATTGGGTCACATCAGTGGCCTTGGCTCCCGGGCCACCGCTCCTTCGGGCTCTCCAGCTACGGGTGTCAGGCAGACCATGTGCTGTTGCTGGAGGGATGCCGGCCCTAGAGGCTGGCAGGGCTCCGGGCTCTTAAGCCAGAGAGGTGAATGGAGCAGGAGGGAGGAAGGGGACGGCGCCAGAAACCTGGGCTTGGCAGCTCCCTCAGGAGGGCATTCGGGGATGCCCTCAAGTGTCCAGGAGGCTGGTGACCTGCCAACGCCAGGCAGATGGGCTGAGAGGCACAGGAGCAAGGCGGAGGAGGGACGGCGGAGCTCTGGCGCCTCGGGGGCGGGGCAGGGGGCATGGCCAGGACAGTTTGCAGAGGCGGGGACTGACCCCCAGGGGTCGCTGCGCGGCGCTCAGCCCCTCCAGCCGGCGCGGGTAGTCGGTCTGTACCACCGCGCGGTTCGTACCGGGGAAGCAGCACCCGGCGCGGGGCCCGGCGGCCGGGGTCCGGAGGCTACAGCTCGCAGCGGATCGCAGGTCCTCGCTGGCCTGTGACGCGAGGACCCGGGGTGCGGAGACTCGAGGCGCCCGTGCCTGAGGGGCGGCGCGGCTGCAGAACCTGTCCGGGACACCCCCACACCCCATGGTAGGAGCCAGGACCCAAACAAAGGCGGGCGGCGAATAAAAGGCGGCGGAGGCGCGGAGTGCTCAGCCTGCAAGCGGAGGACCGGGATTCGTGGGGAGCTGTCGGCGCTGTGCGCGCCGGAGCGGAGCGGGGATCGCCGGCCTCCCGAGGCTCCGAGGATATCGCTCCTGCGACAAGTCTGCGGAAGGGATAAGTCTGCGCGGCGGGGTGGCCGCGGACCCCGGGCCCTCCGGCCCCCGCAGCTCAGAGCGGCTCGGCTCGGCCGGCCGAGGTGAGTGCGACGGCCGCGGGGCGCCATCCGGTCTCGGGCCGGGGGTGCAGCGCCCGAGGAGGAGGGGACGGGTCCCACGCTCGGGCCTGCGAGGCCCGGGTGAAGTTCCCCGGCTCCCTCGCCAGCCCTCGGGAGCGCGGCGGGGGGCAGAGCCCGGAGCTGGGTTCCTCGGGCCGGGCCCCAGCTCGCGCCAACTCCGGGCGGGGACGGTGCAGCCTCCGTGTGCCCTGGCGACTTCGATGCTTCGAAACCGCCAGGCTTCTGACCCCTGGCCCTCTGCTGATCCCGGAGGGTAGATGTCTCAATCCGTAAAAGTTGAGCGTCCTTCAGAATCTGTCCCCCGAGGGCTGTCTGCCGGGCTTGAGTGGAGGGAGGGGACGGGAAAGGTTAATGACCCCTTTTCCACCCACCCCTACCCAAGCGCATTCGTGCTCTCTGCGGGACATTTCCCGAGTCCTGCGGCCCAATGGACTTGGCCGCTGGTACAGCTGGTTGGGCGGACGAGAGCTGTGGGACCCGGACAGGCGATGGAAGCCGAGCTCAGGAGGGTCCTCGGGCCCAGCCGAGAACGCGAGTGGGGTAACGGTGGGGCGGACAGCGGGGGCGACCAGGGTTGGAGGAAGATTCCCAGAGAGAGCCGCTCTGTCCCGAGAGCTAAAGCTGCCTCTGGGAGAACTTTTCCCAACTCCCCCGGGGAGCCCGGCAGCCGGCTGGGAAGGCGCCTCTTTAGCCAGGCTACCTCTCCACAGCTGCTCTCTGTTTTTTGGCTGGCGCCAGCCCCCACAATCCCTTCGGAGGCTCTGCCCAGGTCCCTGTAGGTCCGCGCCTCGGGTCAGCACCGCGGACAGCGCGCGAGGGCCGCCTCCCCCTACAGCAGCCCTTGCTGGCGCCAGGCGACCCACGCGCACACAAACCCACAGTGCACGCGTACTCACATCCATCCACGCGTGCGCGCACTCACCCCATCTACATATCGCTCGCAAACATTCCACACACACATTCACAGTGCACTCCCTCAAAATACACAGCCACCCACAGTCTACTGGGACGCAGACCCCAGGTTCTTTCGCAGGTGGACACCCCCAGATCTTTCCAGTGTGTGGACCAGGGAAGCATCTCATTCCAGGTCCTCATGAAGCTGCTCTCTCTAGGCACACTGAGGAAGCCCCAGACTCCAGAGACCACTCCGCGGAGCTCCCCCAGGTCCCCATGATTCACAGAGAATACTCAGGCTGCAGGGCACAGACATGCACGCGTGCTCCTGTGAAAACACACACACGCGTAGTCCCGCTCCTCGGGGGCGAGCAGCCGGACAGACGCCCAGATAACAGCTCCTCCAAGGCATCTGCTCAGAGGAGGGAGGAGATTGTGGCTCCAAGCAGCTCCGGGCAGACGCCCAGCGCGGCGGGCAGGCGCCTCGTCTAGTCCTGGTTTGAAGCTCAGAGCCCATTTTGCTCGGCTCCCTGCCCCTATGTCTACTACTCAGACCCGTTCAGACATCTCCCAGCAGTGTCTGCATCCTTTGCCTGTGCTGTTTCCCTGCACCCCCCACTGTCTTTCATCCTCCTGCCCTTTCTGTGGTCTTTCCAGTCGGCTTCCCCAGCTCCCCTCACTTTGATTCCCAACTTTCCTTAGCCCTCACCTGACCATCTTCACCCTGATGTTGGCACAGCTGGCCCCAGGGCAGCTGACCCCATTCTCCCCTACTTGCCTGGCTGCAGACTTGACACCTTTATTCCTGTTTCTGGCAATCTGACCCTCCCTGGCCCACAGCCTCAGCACCTTCAGCCTTCTTTCTTGGGGAATCTTCCAGGGCTGGATGCCCCAGAGCCCCCACAGTCTCTCCAAGGGAACACCGCAAGCCCCAACCCCTGGAGATGTGGCCCTTTGAAGAATCTGATACCCGTACCTTGGCTTGCCCTTTGGCATTCTCCTGCTGTTGCTGTAAAGTCCAAAACATGGGCAGAAAGAGGCATAGTCCTGTGGGGGAAGGACCACAGGCTTCCAATGCACCCTTGGGCAGACTACTTTCCTTCCCTGAGCTCCAGGCTTCCTACGTATAAAAGACAGGCCTGCCTGAGTTGACCTGTGGGTGAGGGTCTCTTTTTGGCCCCAGTAACCTGGAGCATGGACTCTGTAGTGAATCCTTTGATTGATTTGGGTAGGATTGAAGATCATAGTTGTGACTCTGGAAGTCGTGAAATCTATCCCTTCCCTTAGAGCATCCATCACTGCTAAAATCATCCTGTCCTCTATGCTAGGGATGTTCCAATGATTTCTTTAATAGGACCAGAAATGTCAAATAATTTTCCCAGGGTTACACTGCTGAAGTGCAGTCTCCATGGAGGCAGACAATATCTTCTGCATGAACCAGCCATTCTGCTGGTAGATGCCTGGTAGTAAGGAGTGAGTGAAGAGTGGAGACTCAACTCAGATCTCTGGAGCTCTGGGTCCCAGGGATCATGATTTAAGCCCTTTTCTCCAACAGTTTAGACATGCTTCCTGATCCCCCACACACACTCGCTTAGTCACCCAAAGGCAGATAAGGTTGTCTCAGATAAGGTCCTCCCAAGAGACAAACTCAGCTGGTTAGACATGGCTCCAGAGGACTGGCAGAGAGCGACTTCAGAGGTCCTGCCAGGGCAGAGGGGCTCAGCAGTTAGCCCCAAGTCCCTAAGGCTCAGCCAGGCAGACTGCACATGGGCGGCTGGTTGTTTGCTAGATCTGTCCTGGGGGAGAAGATGGCAGTTACCACAATTTGGCCAAGTGGCGTCTTCTCACATCCCCATGAATTGAGGGCTGCACAGTGGCCATTGCAGATACGCAGAGTGAGATGCCTAGAGCAGAGGTGGTTTTCTGAAGGGAATCACCAGCCCACCATTGGTCGTAACAATAGACACCCAAAAATGGTGGTATGGTGATGGAGGCTGGGGTCGATAGTAATAATGTTATTGATGTGGATAATGACATTGGCATTATTTTAATTGAAAGCTCAGTGATTACTGTGTTTGTTCCCCTTCCCCCTTTTTGAAATGGTTTCCTCACCTGGACCCCACTTGTACCCCTCCCCACAGCAAATGTGGAGAAGCTGAGGTACTATCAGTGAGGCAGAGATGCCCATCCTTCGAGGCAAAGAGGAGGGCCTTTGCCATTTGGAATCCTCTTGCCCGCTGCTCATCCTCCCTCCCCCCACCAAAGCATATTTCCTGCCAGAGGAGCCCGGAGAGATGTCAAAGTCTGTCAAAACACCCTTCCGAGCTGGATTCCAGAGCGCCAGGGCCCAGGGAAAATAAATAAAGAGAGCAGTGTCAGCTCGAAATAGAACCATGCACCCAAGCACAGAAATTCCACAAGCTGCATCTCATGGGAAGATGGTGTGGCTCACGCTCCAGCTGCTTGACAAAGGCCAGAGGCAGGGACACTGCCAGGACCAGTCCGGAAGGCAACACTACCTCCCCCAGAGAGCTCATTCCCTGCCCGGCCACCAGGAGACCAGATGGCTGTGCTCCACTGCAGCCCCCGAGGGTGGCGAATACTTTGTGTCAGTGTGTTAGTCCAAGCTCTGTAGAAAGGCTGATAGTCCCCGTCCCCCGCCTCAGGATGGAGGACGCTGAGAACACCACCTTTTGAGGGCCTACCGTGTGCCATGTGCTAGGCATTCATACCAGTCATCTCATTTAAGCCTTGGGGCCATCTCATGGCGTAAGAATTGTCATCCTCACCTAGTGCATGGGAAAACAGGGTCACAGCAGGGAAGACACTTGCCTAAGGTCACACAGATTCAGAGTTTGATCTGGTTGAAGCAGAAGCCCCCACTTTGACAATACCCTGCTTTGTTTCTAGCTATTCATTCATTCAATATTTTTGGTCAGGAAACCACTATGCGATGGTTTTAAAGAATGCTCATTCCTCTGCCAGCAGAGCTAAAGGCGAGGATCAGTACTGTCACCTGAGTTTTCTCCCCGTGGCCTGGCCTGGGTGTCCAGGCTTCTGAGCTGGGTCTGGACTGGGTGCCTCACGTCGGCATCTCAGGCTCTGTCCCAAACCCTGAGAGCCTGACCTGTCTCCTGGGGCGCCCCCCGCTCCCATTGGGAAGGTTGGACTTTGAGAAACAATATAACTCTGAAGAGAACAGAGCTGTGAGATGCCTCTGCAGCTGGGGAAATTATTCAGAGAGGCCAAGTGAGTTGGCCAGCATCACACAGCGTGTTGGTGCCAGAGCCTGGTCGGTGTGATCTTGCTGTGTGGCCACACTGGCTTTCTCAAATGTGTGCTGTCCATCCAGTTGGCGCCGCTGGAGAACCTGAACTGGTGCAGGCGGTAGACCTGAGACCTGTCTTCCAAGGGCGGAGGTGAAGCTCTGCTAGTGGTCCCTGCTCAGGTCCTCTCCTGCACATCCCCTCTGACATGAATCACAGGGCTCCGCCCCTAGTCGCTGTGATGATCAGTAACCATAGCAAACAGGATGTGAGCCCCGTGCCTGGCACTGACATCACCCCACAATCTCCCCAAAGGAGGCAGGTGTTTTTATTCCTTTTCACAAAGGGAGGGACCGAGACTAGAGAGGTTGAGTCACCTGCCCAAGGTCACACAGCTAGCAAAGGGCAGGTGGAGCCCTTGCCAGCAGCTTCAGCCTAGGCTCGAGGAAGGGGAAGGCTTGGAACCAAAGCCAGGGGGGTGGAGGAGCTGACGGGCAGCCCCAGGCTATTTATATTACACCTCCAGCCTCATCACGCTCGCTGGCATGGGTGCCAGCAGCAGCAGTGTCTCTGCCAAATCCTGGAAGGAGGAAGCCGGGGACAGCGGTCTGGGAGCAGCCACTGGAGGACATCACTGAAGCTGGGGTGGGGGAATGTTTGCTGCAGCCCCGGAGAGAGAAGCCACTAGGGAGAACATCGCTGCGTTTGGCCCTGCGAGCCGGTGGTTCTGGCATCTCACCTCGTTCCTTCGATTCTTGCTTTCTAGAGAACCAGCCTGGGCACCTGGCAGTTTGGCACTGGCTGTTGTTGGCAGGTTAGGGTTTTGATGTGTGCAGCAAGCGGAGCTATGGAGGATGAGGAGCTGGTGGGGACAACGGGAAGGATTTGGTGTTCATTTAGAGACTCAAAGCTGCCATCCAGGTCCCTCAGAGAGGGCACCCTTTGGAACCAGGCAGTGACATCCTGGGACATGGTGTCCAGGGCCTTAAACTTTGTCTTCCAGAAAAGGTTTTCCCTTTGGTCTCCCATCCAAGTGTCTGCCTGAGTAGCCCTGCTGTGTGGCAGGAACTGGGCATGTGGAAGTGGAGAAGTCTCTGTCGCTGTCCTAGCAGAGTCCCCCTCCCCACACCACCACCAGCTCTCACCCCAGGAGCAGAGGTGACGGAGGATGAGTGATGTCTTCCCTCGGTCCCGGCTGCAGGTGAAAGTGGGACCCGGATGATGTCTGGGGCCGAGAGGACGTGTCCAGAGAAGTGGTGACCGCAGGGCTCCCCTGGGTGTAGCTGCGG